GGGGCGCGGGCACTGCTGTCACCGCTGGGAAAGAACAGGCCTTCCCGGGAGGCACCGTGTCAAAGGTGGTGAAACGCGGCCCTCCCAGCGCCGCCTCCCCGCGGAAACTGCGCTGCTGCTGGGGAGGTGGGCGACGGACGACACAGCTGCGGAGAGAGGACAAAGGTGTCCCAAATTCTGGATCCTGTCTCTAAACATGCAAGTCTCCACATGGAAAAGGAGGTGCCCGGGCGGCGCGTGGCCCCAGGCGCTGTGACGGGTGGGCGGCTCAAGACAGCCAGGTGTCTCCGTGCAGGGCGTCATGCACGGTCCCACCTCCGGACAGACCTGCCTGGGTTAAGGGTGGTGCTAAGGGCAAGGCCCTCTCCAGCAGAGGGAGGGTGGAGCCCGGGGCCCTGCAAGGGCTGCTGCCATGACAGAGGGTGGAGTTTGCTTGGGGACGAGGGAGCGGCGTGCCCTCTGCCCCTCTGTCTCCACCGCACAGCGGGCTGTGTGTGCACGGGGGCCGTGCAAGGCCGTGGACAGTGGGATAAAGTGCTTGGGGATTTTTTTTCCAATTTATGGATCTGTCTCAGTAAAGAGGGGTGATTTCTCTGGGGCCTATATCATATTGGCAGTCAATCTAGAAAATTTGTGATTACTTTTAGGCAACAGGGGTTTGGCAAGTGCATTAACCTGTCTCTGTGAATTTAAGCACACAGGCTACAGCCATGACTGTGATCAGATTCAGAGTCGAACATTTTACATTACCTTTTAGGAATGAGGTGCGCCCTCAGCACGTTTGAATGGGGCACAAAATCTTCTCACATAAACCAACAGTGTATCTTTGCAACGGAGGTAAAATCTTAGGACGATCTTGCAGGTGTTTTTAAAACAAACTTCACGCTGAACGGTCCTGGTTTGGCAAGTAAACTTCCTTGTCAATTTATTAAATTATTAAATGAATATTTAATTATGTTTGGCATTGAACCAAATTCCTACAGATCATTATTTAAGCTGAACTAAATTTAAGTACTTTCTAGGTGACTCTGCCCACTTGCCAAAGTTACCTGTAAGCCCCCTGCCAAAAAACCATTCAGGCCAGTTTCCCAGTCACCCCTAGACAGGCACAGAGAGAAAAATTTGAGCTTTTTGAACGTGGCCAACTCAGTCTGCTATCTTCCTGAGAAGTGAAGCTGCTCAAATATATACTTGGAGTCTAAAAATGTACACATTCGAGTCTCAGTTTTGTATTTTTGAAAAGCAAAGACATGGAAGAGCTGGGGATGGCGTTTCAAAGCCCAAACGTGTCAATATTGAAATACACGTGGAAAGACGATTGCAGTAAATGTCTGCCTTGGAATTGCTCTCAATTAAAATCCTGAATGCACGGGACATGCCTTTGTCTCAGGGGAATATGCTCCATGTTGTAGACAAGGCTGTGAAAAGTTCTTTTGCTAATTTTAGGTTACTGATCAAGGCACCATTTTAATTTGAGATTTCACTGTTGCTGTTGGATCATTTTAAGTTTCACTTTGGAAGTAAATTTTGGATTTTGGAATTGGCTCTGTGTGTTTACTTGTGGAGCGGTCACTGACCTTCAGGTGGAAGCAGAGGGTGAGATGTCACGAGTTTGCATATCTCTGCTTAGGGGGGACCCGTATGTCGAAAGCCACGGCACCATATCTGGGATGGAACAGTCAACAAAATTCCTCCTTAAATACTATCCCCAAGTCAGGCATCCAGGTCTGCGCAGTGTGTTAGATCTCATGATTGCTGTGGGTCGGGTTCTGGCAGGGCATAGCTGGGTGATTTTTCAGCTCCGAGTAGCACGGGCTGAGCTAGCTTGGTGGGACTCAGCTGGCCATTGGGTGTCTGGGGGCCTGAGCTCTTTGTTCCCATATCTGGCAGGTTGGCGGGGTGACTGCAGGCTAGATTCCACTAGGACTATGGCTCAGAGAGTCTCAGACCAGCACCTGATGGTGGCAGGCTTTCCAGTGCTGCTTCAGGGGTCCCCAGGAGGGTCCCATGTGGTGGGGAGGGAATCCCGCCATTTCATAACAAGTGGGCCCAGAACCCAGCATCACGTCCTGTCATGTCTGCCATATCTCACTGGTCAAGTAGACCCAGAGCCACCTGCATTCAAGGGGGAGGGGACGCAGCCCTCCATCCCTCTGCGGGGGGGGACGTCAAAGCAAGGCAATCATCTTTAATACCCCCCAAGCTGGCTTCATCCCAGAGTGAATGTGAAGCATGCTAGGGGTCGTGAAGCCCAGGGTCTGGGCCAGACGTGCCTCCCTCCTCTTCTGGAGTGGCCAGGTTCCGAGGAAAGCGGCGCCAAGCAGTAGTGCAGGAGTGACTGGGTGATGGAGATCAACGCACGTGCAAGTAGTCCAGCTCAGCAGCAGTCCTTTACCATGGCAGGTGGTCTCCATATTCCTTTTTCCCTGGTGGCCACCCTCTGCCCCTTGCCCCACATTAGTGCATGGATTTTCTGACTACAAACTAGCAAAGCAGGAGCTGGTCCTCACGGTCCCCATTAACGTGGCTTCCTGGCCCTACTGCATCCACCAAGTGCCACTTTGATAAGAACGTTTCTGCTTGAAGCCCCCAGTGGAGAGTGTGGAGAGAGAGAGAGAATGTTCAGGAACAAGCCAGCTCTGCACAGACAGCTCCTGCTTCCTCGGGACGGATCCTTGGCATGTAATGGCCAATAGGATGTTGAGAAGACTTGCGGGGACTTAGGAATGGGCCAATGAGGAAGCTGGTAAATGTCAGCGGGAAGGCGCACGGTTCCAGTTTAACCCCTCGAGTTAAATGTGTGTGACGGTGTGAAGGGCACTGACACCAGATGCCCTTCAAAGAGAAGCCCGTTGTCCCCTTGCTTCTCCCACCCACGAAGGCCCCTCAGGACTCCCCTGGCGACTTGGGTCTCTGCTGCGGGGTCTTCTCCCTCTTATGTCCCTCCTCTCAGCAGATGTGCACAGGCTCCTGGATGAGCTGCGTGCTCCCTGAGGACCCACGGTGGGTGTAAACCTGTTTGTGGTCATTCAAGTCCCTTGCAACATGGCCACTGAGCACCTGCTCACGTGGTGGTCACAGGCAAAGAGAAGTAGCACAAGAACATAATGTCGCTTCTACAGAGATAACTGTAGCTCCCAGAGTCAGTCACAGACATTGAGGAGATGCTGGGATGCACAGCGTCCTTCCAGAAGCTATTTCAAATGTGATGCTGGTAAGGCACGTAAAGACTCTCACGTAGAAAACAGTCGATGAACTTCAGCTTTATTTTTTAAACACTTTATGTTTCCCTTGATAATTGCATTTTAGAATAACTTTCTGTATCAGCAGTTTAACCCTCCTTCCTGTCGGTCCTCTCAGTGGCATTCGGTTCAGACTTCCGTGTTACACACGCAACCTGCAGAGACATGCCCCTTGCCTGGTAGGGAGGTGACTGGTGTGAAAGTGTCTGTGGCTGAAGGTATTTAACACACGTGAGGTGGTGCTGAGGGAGGGCGTCTTCCTGGTTTTGAAAGAAACCTTGTGTGATCTTTCAGACAATGACAAAGTAATGACTAAACTGATTTTTTTCCCTTAGGCTTTGGTTCATTTTGGAAGGCAGGGATTGTGGCCGTGGTACCCTGAACATCAATTTCCCGGCTGTGTGTCATTCAGATGCTCAGGAAACGCTGGTTGAACACACTTTCTCTACACAGACCCCAGCTGCTTCTCAGGAAGCCCGGTGGTGTCAGCCTGGGATACAATCCTTTGTCCATCTCCTTCCAACCCTTTGCCGTTTTTTAGGTGAAAAATTAGCCCCCTAACACCCTGCTGCGTTTGGGTCTGTCTTCTGGGTGTGTAAGCACGGTCCTCTGTGTGTGAACACACCAAGGGAAAGGAGAAAACAGCTCTCTCGTGGCCTTAAAAACCAACCCAAGTCCTGTTGATTTTACCCACAAGACACAGCCCCTTGGGTTGTTCAGAACTGGGGCCTTCTTGGGTGTCAGGGACAAACGACTGTGACTTGGCAGAAGACTGCGTGAAGACACCTTACTCCTGTCCTGTTGCAGGCGCTGTATTTACTCAGCCATCTTCTCCCCGCCTGGAAAGTACCCCAGAGGCTGCTAATTTACTTCCTTAAGGACTACCAGAGAAATCGTGCAGAAAACACCTTGCACTGGAGGAGGTCTTTTGTGCTTAGGGTGTCTGCTCGTTGTGGAAAAATGTGTGACAGCTTAGTGTCACGGCTCAATGTTACAGCTCAGTTGTGACAGCAACCCGGATCCCATCAAGAGACCAAGCAGCACTCGGAGGGTTGAAGAACTCAGGTTTATTGCACCAGTTGGCCCAGAAAAGTTAACACTCCAAGCTCTGAACCCCGTCCGTAGGTTTACACCGGCTTTTATAGGCTGCCAGTTTACACTTTGCAACATCGTATGTAAATGAGGTATAAGGAAAGTTGACTAATTAAGAACAAGCTTTGTAGAAATGGACCAATCAGGAGTGAGAGAAATAACCAATCGGAAGTGAGCTCAGGGAACCAATAGAATTTTAGGGGTAAGTAAGCCGTTTCAGAGGCAAAAAGTGAGATAGAGCCGCTGGGCCGGGGAACTGGATGGTGCTAGGAGGAGAGTAGTGGCCCTGCCTGTCTTTTTATGGCACTTCCTGCCTCACGTTTCCCTGAAATATACATCCTATTGAAAAAGGAATCCAAGAACTGGACCCTCAGGGGATACGAGGAAATGGAAGAATGTATACATCCTCAAACGTGCACAATAGGAGGGGCGCCCTTGCTATCAGGAACCTGCACAGTGAGGGTCTCAGTGTCCCCTTATGTGACCAGGCAGGCGCCAGCCTCCACTGGCCTGGGTTTTCTTTTGGATTGATGGAAACGTTTTGGAACTAGGTAGAGACTGGTGATTGCAAAGCACCGCGAATGTACTAAAGGCCACTGAACTGTTCGATTTAAAATGATGGCTTTTATGTTATGTGAATTCCACCTTAATAAAATAAACAAAAAATTTTAAGGAAAAAAACCCATGCCCATATCAGCTTTATTAATAGGAGCCCCAAACCAGAAATGACCCAAATGTTCTCCAGTCTCAGAATAAAGTACATATGTTATCCACCTGCTGGCATTCTACACAGCGAGGACAATGGATATAAAAATCACACACCTTGCGTTGGGACACGGCATGTTCACACCCTGTGAGTCCATTCACGTGAAGGTCAAGAACACGCAGGACCAGCCAGTGGCGGTGCAGGTCAGCATGGCGGTCTTCCCTGGAGGGAATTACTGGGGGGCCGCGATGATCCATACATTGATGCGGGTGACATGGGTGTGCACAGTTGTCAAGGCTGAACTGCATCCTTAAGATTAGCGATCTGTTCTGGTTGTAAATGTCCTTCAATAAAAATAATAATTCCCAGAAAGGAGAAGGATCGACTCAGAGAAACAGAAACATTAACCATCGTATATGGGGTCACCCACCCCAGGCTGGCCAGATGTCCTCACGGGACTGGTCACCTGGCTGGTCCTTCTCCGTAGGCAGCAACACCTGCGTCCAGCTCGGCCCCTCTGCTTCCACGTTACTGTGTCATTTCTTGCTTGGTGCATCTGTCCCCAGCAGGTCTGGGGGTCCTCGAGGGCAGGACCGGGTCTCACTCCCTGTGGGGACCTGGTCTGGAGAGAGGAGAAGCTTTATGAAGGGTGGTGGAGGGACCCATGGAGCTGGACTCTCCTTGGGTGTACGGGCAGGGATGCAGAGAGACCTCGGGGTCACAGTCACCTCAGGTGTCCCAGCCAGCCATGGCAGGTGTCCACAGCCCTGCTTGGCCCCTGCCCACATGTGGACAGGCACCCCAAGGAGGAATCTGGACCAGATTCTCAGTGTCCTCCATTCAGGGGCAGCCACTTCCGGGCCTCACTCAGCCAACAGCCACCACGCTCAGTCCCCTGTGGCTGCAGGAAGCCGCCTCCCCTGCAGCAGCCCTGGGCGCCGGGACCTTGACCCCAGGAGGACTCCCGCAGAACCCTTAGCCGCAGCCTGACATTTGGGGCGGGTCTCTGGGAGCCTGGGGCAGAGCTTCTCAGACTTCCCTGGACACTGCGGTGCCCAGGGCCCTGGGAAAGCGCGGATTCTGACTCGGGGGGTCTGGGGGCAGTGGTGCGGATGCTCTGGTCTGGAAGCTATGGAGGGAGATAACGCCCGCTAAAAAACGAGGAACACGTGTGCTCAGGCACACGTCAGCCAGCTATGCGTGCAGGCGCATGCCCAAACCTCCACGGAGAATTTAAAGCACCGTCAGTGTGAGGAGCCCGGGAAGTGTAAATGGGGCAGGCTCGCAGCCCGAAGCCCTGAGCGCCTTCCCGGCACAGCGCGCCCCCACCCCCGCCCCCGCCTCTCTGGCTGCGGGCCTGCTGGGGCCAGAGGCAGCTCCCCGCTTTGCGGCAGAGGCTGTGTGGGACCCACCCTGCCCGGCCCGGCCAGGAACTTTCCCCGCCACACCTCCGGTTCTGCAGGGCTATTTTTAGAGGCCTATTTTTAACCCATTTGAAGTTCACACTGACTTCACCGCCTAATTGGAAAGGTCAGCTCCCTGGAATGGTCTGTCTTACACTCCACCCTGCGGACTGTGCAGAGCAGGGGCGATCAGATATCCCCAGCGGGGCCCGTGCTGACACCGGTCTCTTCTAGGGTTCAGGCGAGGTGGCGGCGGGG